AGATAAAAATAAATAAATGTTTACCACTTCAACTTCGATGATCTTTGTTAGGAGGTGCATTTAGACGTATTTCATCTTCACTCATGGTCTGGTTTATGAAGTCTGACCTTGCTCAAGAGTTACACAACTGCTCTGCTACCCCCCAACACTTCAATGAATGCAGTCTCGGATTCTCACTTCTTCCAGCTCTGCCTGGTGTGTGTCTGGCCAGCTGTGAGCGTCTTCACCCTGGTGAAAATCTACATTTTTTTGTTTTGTTTGTTTCTCTGTGTTGTTTTGTTGCCTGTCCTGGATCTCACTCTGTAGACCAGGCTGGCCTCCAACTCACAGAGATCCGCCTGGCTCTGCCTCCCGAGTGCTGGGATTAAAGGCATGCAACACCACCACCCGGTGAAAATCCATGTTTTTAAAAGGTAGGACTGGTAACACTCTAAACTCTTTGTAGGCCAATATGTTTTCCTCAGTGTGCATTCTTGGGGCCTATGTATTGCATACTAGATGTAAAGCAAATAGCTGCTGAGGGATGACAAAGTCTGGAGCAGCTTTAGAGTTAAGACACAGTTTCTAATGATAAGATCCCAAGTAGCCTCCAACTCGCCACGTCGCCAAGATTGTCTCTGGGCTCTAGATTCCTCTGTCTCCACTTCCCAAATGCTGAACCACAGGTCCAAGGCTCCAAGCCTGGTGCTCTATTCTTCATCTCTTACTGAAATGCACACTTAATAGATGGAGGATGATCTATGGCTATTATCCCAGCACTCCTGCGGCTCTGATAGCAGGGTTGGAGGTTCAAGGCCAGCTTGGGCTACATAATGAAATCCACCCTCAGTAAATAAATAGATAACTCATGAAATATCAACTAGGTCTCACTGTGTAGTTTCCTCGTTTCAATCTTGGCTTCTGCTAGGTGCCGAAGCCACCCCAGGGAAGCGTCTAAGGGTATGATATAGGAGAACTGTGAACAGCATGAAATACTCCAGCAATATGATCAAGAAATTGATAGTCATCATGGCCAGCAGTAGAAACAGCCTAAAATAAGATAGTTTTAAAAGCACGGCAAAAATTATCTATTTTTTAACCAGTGTGTTTGACTCAAAATCAATTTGTTGAGTATAATATTCGTGAACTAACTCCCTTTTAAGTTGTGTATTAGTTTCTCGCAGGGTTGACTTATTCTGAAGAATTATTATTTTTGACCAGAGAAAACTAAAGCACCTTTTTCTTTCATTAACAAAATTTTATCATGTTCATATTTACTGTGAGGGTGTACGTGAGGGGGAGGGGGTACTCACACTGAAGTGCTCCCTTGAACTTGCTCTGTTCTTTCACCATGTGGATTCAGGGACTGAACCTGGGTCCTCAGGCTTGGTGACAAGCTCTTTTAACCTTTGAAGTATGTCACCAGGCCAGGGAATCCTTTCACTTTCTTTTTCTTAAGACGACAGCTCATATATCCTAGGTTGGCCTTGAACTTGCTATGTAGTTTAGGGAAGATGACCTGGAATTCCCCATCCTGCTGCCTAGATTACAGGTGGGTGCCAGCCGCACTCGGTGTGGTGCTGAGCGTCAAACCAGGGCTTTCTGCATTCTTGGCAATAAGGTATCTTTCCCCAGCAGGATTCCTGAGGTCCACTGGAAGAATGCAAGCCTAGAACTTGAAATGAGTGGATCTCGTATCTTTTATTTTATGGTAATTTGCAATCCCTTCAATTATTCAGTTGCTGTAACCTGGTAGGCAGTTCATGTTTGTTAGCTTGTCTGTTTTGTTTTGTTCTGAATGACATAACAGGATACTTCCGATGCAAACATATACTACAACTGGAAAATCTGTCACCGTTTGGAAGGCCCTGTGCACACGGGGTGTATTAAGCACTCCTGTGCTCCCTCTACTGCCTCAGAGGAGACATTCATAGTCAAGACCCCAGAACACTCACTCCTAACCAGTTTCTTTAGGTGATGAAACAGGGCTCTTCAGAGAAAGAGTACCATTTCCTTCACATGTAGATGGTCACCCCTCAAACTGGAGGGCTAGTTTTAGGGTTCCTCTGAAATACTCAAATCTTAGACTGTCCAAGTATATTATATAGTGTTTGCATACCATGTATTCACGTCCTCCTACATGCTTTACATTAGAAGTAATTTAAGTTTATAGTATAACTAAGTCCTCTAGATTACTTATAACACCTAATGCAATGGAAATACTTGTTATTCTGCGTTATTTGTGGAACAATGATGAGGGACAAGTCTATAGGTATTCAGTATGGATGACTTTAAAAATTTTTTTCCCTATGAGAAGCTGGTTAAATTTGAGGATGCAGAGGTCCAAGTGCATTGTGGTATGTTTTTCATTGGTAAAATAATTAACATAGGTAATTCATTGGAGAATTAAGTTCAGTACTCGTGGCCAAATGTGTCCAGGCAGAGCCGCATAGTACAGACCAGTGATCTTTATACTGGGATGTGCGGAGTCTTTGTAGCCAGTTCGAAGGCAGACTCTGACTGCATATTGTGGCGTAGGAGCCTTGATTCGGAAGTCTAAAATCCTCCAGCTGGTGGTGCTGCAGCAAGTGCTGCCTTTTTAGACTTCAATTTTAAACACAGAAATACAATATAAAAGTCTTGTGACTTAATATGTGGTTACTAGTGCATTTTAAACTTTCAAAAGTAGATGGGACAAAAACACTAACATGGAAAGTAGGCAGGCAGGAGACATGGCTGGGGACTTGAGAGCACTAGTGTGGATCCGGGACTCACCAAACGAGCCTGGCATCCCACAGGCCTGTTAGCTCTGCTGCCAGAGGGAAGAAACAGGCGGCAAAGACTAGGTTTGTTGGCTTCTAGCCTAGTCTAGAAGAGACGAGCCTCAGGTTCAGGTAGAGACTCTGCCTCAAAGGAGTACCTGGAAAGTGATAGGATACACAACACACACACACACACACACACACACACACACACACACACACACACACAGACACACACAGACACACACAGACACACACATGCTAAATAAATAAATCTTTAGAAAAATGAATAGATGGTACTAAAATTTTTTTCATGTTGTTTAAGTAATTCATAAGACAGGTTAGGAGTAAGGCTCAGCAGGCCTTCTTCCTCAATTTGACTCCATTTCAAAGCTTGACTGCATCTTGTATAAATATAATATCAGATTTGGGTTTAGGGGAATGGCGTTATACAACTGCCAACTGCCACCGTGACACCTCTGCTTTTTCCACTGAGTTTTCATTTGCATGAGAACTTTTGCTTTTAAAGAACCTGTCTTGTTACCTCTGATGGTACATTTGATATTTTGTCATCTGGAAACAAAACATTTCAGGAAACTGTTTCAAGGGTATTGTGTTTGTGTTGGACCTTGCAGGAAGCAGTAGCTGTAGGTTTTGTGTGTGTGTGCGTGCTTGCCTGTGTGTGTGTGTGTGTGTGTGTGTAAAAGAGAGAGAGAGAGAGAGAGAGAGAGAGAGAGAGAGAGAGAGAGAGAGAGAGAGAGAGAAACAGAGACACATACACACACAGACAGAGA